AAAAGCGTTTCTAAATTCTTCATTTTTCCATCCGTAGATAAGAGGGATGCATATGGCATTTACAAACATGGCCACGTCGTAAAGGATTTGCTTCAATAGCTTTCGATGAGAGGGGTCTTTGAGTGATATGCCACAGAAGACTCGGAGGAAAGTCACAGCCGGCATAGGGATGATACTGAGCAGACACAGCGCTACAACAATGGCGAGAGTGCGGGCACCTTTCATTTGATGCTTGATGGTGGGCATTCCTGGAACGTCGCGGCCCTGTTCTCTGACATGTTGTCTCTGCTTGTAGGACACTATGAAGATGTAGGTGTACGAGCATAAAATGATCAAATGGGGGGGACAAGAAACATTGACAAAGCTTGGAATACAAGATGCCATTTGATGGGGACTTGAGAGGTATTACCTGTTGTTGCCCTCTGCAGCACGTTTGGGACAGCCACAATAACCAGAGCCCATAGCCACATCACGATGGAAACAATCCGTTCTCAACGTTTGGTCATTATGGCCTGGTATCTTAAAGCGAACTTGATGGCGATGAACCGTTCTGAACTTATTAAGGTGAGATGAAGAACCATGATCGAAAGAAGGAACAAGGAGATAGTTCCGCCTACTTCTTTAGGAATACGTGGAGGATTCCCACCATTATAGTCAAGGCATAACTGAATGATATCAAGAATCAAGGGAATCGCTAGTAAGCCATCGGCGATAGACAAACTCACCAAAATGTTGTTGGAAGCAGTTCGCAGGTTCCGAAATTTGTAAAAAGCTCTTAGCACGAAATAGCTCCCGAGCAAAGCAATGATTGCGATAATCCCATGAACGTTCAACATTAGAATAAATTTCCACTTCGGTAAGGGATCGTCAGTCTTGCAATTCTTCATTGCGGGAGGAAAATTCTGCCACCTATGTTGTCTATACAGTTCGGAACACTTACTCCTACCACTGTTCCGTTTCGTATCATAGTCAAACTATATAAATATTCATTGGTCAGCCATGGCCAGGTGAAATCAACTCTGTATACAGGAGCCCATCAAATGGAGCCTCCATCTCCATTAATTTCTTGAGTCAACCCTTTCCCGAGTAGATTTATAAATAGAACGGCTTGTTTCCCGCGAAAAGTGTCATATTTCCGTGAGTCTCGTATGTCACCGTGAAAAAAATGAAGTTGGATGAAGTCGAACTCAGAAGCCCGTCCTTCGACCGTTTTCCTTTTTTACTATACGTCCATTTTTACAGTTTTACAGCCGCTGGGATCTGGGATGAAATAAAAGTTAATGAATTACCCGACTGAGACTAAGCATGAAGCGATGGGACAAAGGCAGCGAACTGAGGATCACGGAAAGGTTCTTTGCGAGTGTTTGTTTGTTTGTTGTTTTTTTGCCGTCGTACATCCCACATTTAAGCATGCACCTTGAAAAGAGTCGACGATCAAGCGTTCTGTGGACGATTTGAAACTTTTCGATGATCAGCGCCGAAAAAGTGCCAGGATCATTTGATTTTTGTCATCGCCGTGGAGTGGATTTCGCCAGTTAAGCACCGCGTGTAAAAGCGATGACCTAAGTAGCAACTAAGGAGGAATGCTTCAGAAAAATTGCAGTCTTCCTTTACAACTGACTTGTATCACAATGAGAGTTGCCTGATAAAACTGGCACTTGAAAAGTTGAACAGAAGACAAAAGTTGCTCGACCGTGAAGCTAACTCAAAAGTAATTTGCTAACGGTGGAATTTGTGACATCGCGCTCCAGTCCAAAGACCCTCTTATCTCAAGAAAAACAAAATGGATTGTATCTGCGCCCAAAGAATTATGACTGACTAACAGGAGAATTCTAAGCAATCAATGTAGAAGTTTAGGCCAATTCTTTCCTTCGAATTCGCATCTGTAGATCACTTTTTTGCGAGAAAACAATGGCTGGGCTCGGCGTTACAAAACACAGAAGGGAATCATCACACTAACTGACGGACAAAACAACCACAGTATTTATTCAGATCAACGCATTTCGGAGAAAAACTTGAAAAACTAGAAATTTGATTAATATTGAGTCATTCAGACGAAATAAGAACCTTAACGCTCCAAAAAATTGGCTAAAGAAAACGAATCCTGTCAGAACTACAGACTGCAGGTAGTAGTTAATCATTACGCATGTAACAGACCTGCTTCATGGCCTCTTATAAATGTGAGACAAGCAACCAAAATTAAGATTAACATGGTCAGAGTTTAAAACTCTCCACAGTATAATCTACCCGCTAGAAAGAAAAGAAAGAAAGTCTCTGAGGGATGAAAACGCTAAAGTCACGTTTCACTAGCTTATGATTTTGTTTGGCCTGTCAGCACCGGATTTCCTGCTGTTTCATGAAGTACAATAGCACTGTCATTTAGTCGTTGTGATTGGCTCTTCCCAACGTCGGCGCGCGAAGTCTCCCCTGGGAACTGTTCTAATTATAAATCTACTCGGGAAAGGGTTGACTCCAAGGGCTTGTATGGGAGATGGAGGCTCCATTTGATGGGCTCCTGCTGTATATGATAGCTATAACAACTATTGATGATGTTCCTTTTGTTTTAATAGCGTCAAAACAAAATACGACGCATCTGGATTAAAGATAAAGTTAAGCCATTTCTATTAACCAAGTTCCAACAAACGCGATTGTCCATAAAATATGCAGGTTTATGTCAGGTAACTGCCTTAATTACCGCCTTCTAAAACGTCAAACTCTAAATTTCTTCGCAAATTCATTAACAATCCATTAAGAAAGTAAATAACATGTCAAAATTGCGTAGTATAGAGTTAAGGAAATAAAACTAGTCATCACGCATTGTGTTCTTGAGTTTTATTAAACAACTGACCACGTTCAACGGTGAAATGAACAAGCACAAAGTCAAATAATTCATTAAATGAAACTTATATTTGGCCTACAAAGAGAAACAAAAGAACTGTTGCACTAGTACTCTTAATAAAAAGTAGTTGTAACAGCAGGCTTTGAAAGTTTCATAAACTATTAAGAGCGTCTTATCGGGTTTAAAATGCAAGGAACAGCCGCACATGTACGAAGTGCGAGCTCATTAACAGATCTAAAAACCTCTTCTAAATACTCCTTTGAATTATTGTTATTATTATTTTTATTATTGTTATTATTATTGTTATTATTATTGTTATTATTATTATTATTATTATTATTTGGCTTCACCTGTAAAAAATGCATGGGTCCTGTTTCTTTGCGATTGTGGATAAGTTTCGGCTTAAAATAACCGTTTTGAATTCTCAATGCACTGAATGGAGAAGAGGATCAAAGTGAAGGCACCATTGTCAGCTGAACTGAAATTGTTTTTAGCTGATTTTATTCGGGGAAGCAGACACACTGGCCCGACACCTTCGTTTTTGAGCCATTAATCAAGCGACTAGGAAACGTCAGTTTTCATTTCTAACTTTGTGATGCTGTGTTTAGACTTTGCATTTAATCACGAGAGAATGAGCTCATTCTCTCTTGATTTAATGTGCTACTACAGACCTGTGACGTCATCCAAAATGGAAGCCAACATAGGTGACCATGATCTCTTCGGATTCAGATTTACCGAAATATATATATTATTTTTTCGGTTAGATTTTTAAAAAATACGATCTCATTTTTCCACTCTTCTAATTCAATGCTTGCCAAAGAAAACCCTGCTCGGGAACACATGCTCAGGATTGAACTCTGCTACGAAATTTACAAAATTAACGATTTTTTGCGATAGCCTTGCGAAAACTGCAAAATTTGCAAACCCAACGGTTTTCCGCGATGACCTTGCGAAAACTACAAAATTAAAAGATTAACGATTTTTCGCGATGAGCTTATGAGAAACGGCGCTGCGGATTTTACAATTTTAACGGTAATTGCAAAATTTACAAATTTCACGATTTTTCATCAGTCCTCTGCTATTTTCACAACTTGCTCCCCTTTGTTATGTAAATAGCAACAAATCCTCAAAGTGGCGCTGCCGATTTTACAATTTTAACGGAAGCTGCGAAAATTACAAATCTCACTTTTTTTCGCAATTTGGTCACAACTGTTCTCCTTTTGTTATAAGGCAGTTGTTTGTTTTACATAGTTTAATATTTCTTTACTGACAATTCACAGTAATACCTCTACGGTTATATTGGCTCCCTGATGCATAATCCATGATCAACTCTAAGCGAGGAGGCGAATATTCCATCATTTTCATATGGGAATCACACCCTTCCCGCGGCTCTTAACAGAACTTCTTTGAACCGTGTATCCACAGGGTACATGCGTTGTTGGGATTTGTTTTTTGTAAATGAAATGTAAGCAGCGTATTCACTGCATAATACCAAGAGAGTAGTAAATAATACCAAGAGACTAGTAAGAATGCTTGAAATACGTTGTAAACTTTTGTGGGCAAATTTTGCTTCTTTACCATGTTATCTGCATAAGCAATTGTTTAGCTTTTTCTTTTACAACTTTTGGGAGTTACAGGGTGGCTGCATGGGGATGCTGGAATCACCATTGGCTTTTCCCAGCCGTATCAATAGCTCTTTGATCTTAAGTCTCAGCTCTTAATTAAAAATCCGTCTCACTTCTCAGCCGACAGTAAAAATTTTGACAAATTCGCAATGTATCAGTGTATGTCCTCCACTGGGCCTCTTCCAAAAACTCTTTTTCACTAGATCTGATCATAGAACATATAATTAGTCTCTTTTTTTACTCATGCAAAAGGATACGTTTGTTATAAAATGTTTTCAACTTACAATCGTGCCACTATACTATTATTATACTTGAAATGAATAAGAATTTGACACCATATAATTCTTGCGTAGGGCTCGTTATTTGAGTGAGTAATTTAGTAGGTACAAACCTCTTGAGCGATTCTCAGTGGCTTACAAAAGGGAGTTTGGTATCGTCTGGTACTTGATACTCGGCCAATTTGCCTTAAACAAAAGAATACAGTTAATCTTGGGTATGGCCTAGGACGCTTGACAACGTTTGCGCACTAAGCTCACTTAGCAGCATTTCAGCATCTTACGAAAAGCGTTTCTAAATTCTTCATTTT